TGTATATGAAATAAGAAAGACAAGTGTATCAGGATAAGCAATCATAGTCCTGGAAAAATTGGTGTTGAAAACCTATTTTTCTGTAGATTAATTAGGTAAGTGGAAAGCATTAAAGCATAATGATTGTTGGGAGGAAACTGAGGCCTAATTTGAAATGATAGAAAAATAGATGTCCAAATTGATTGTTAATGAAATAAAATGATTTTCTATAATCATTAACTTTTTTTTGAAGTGATTTGTAGATTTATAACCTCAGGTCTAGTCTCCATTTAAAAAAATATTTACTTATATTTTTTGTTACTTCTGCTCTTGTTTTCTGGTATCCTAATTATGGGAGAAAGTTTCTAAATCTCCTTTCCCACCTCCTGTTAGTACAGTGCATTTACACTGACCATGCCCTTACCCCTTTCCAGAGCCCAGAGCTTCCTGCAGTTATTTTTGGGTTGACAAAAAGTTATCTTTGGATTACCTTTGGAAAGCTGACTAATATCCAGTAACAACTTCTCATCTTCATCTAGAGGCTTTATTGCCACATATACCTATGCATTTTGTTTGGGTAAATAATTAGTTTCATTTAGGATAACAAATGGATCCCTGAGAATAAGCTAACTAAAAATATGACACATTTAGTCTAATTATTTCTAAAGAACTAAGCGTTCTTGTTACTGCTATTATCTAATTTTTTGATTTGCCAGTAAGGATGGTAGAAAAAAATATGATCACTGTGTTAGAAACCACCTGCTGTTACCTGAACTTAAATATACTGGTATGTGCCAGGCACAGTAGCACACTCCTGTAATTCCAGCTACTAGGGAGGCTGAAGCAGAAGGATCACAAATTTGAGCCCAGTTCAGGCAACTTAGTGAGACCTTGGTTCTAAACAAAATGGATGGATGGATGGTTGGAGTAGGTAGGTGGGGCTGGGATGTAGCTTAATGATGGAGTAAACTTGCGTTCGATCCCTAGTACTGCAGACACAAAAAACCCAAACTATTTGCCTGGGAACTTGCTACTCTCTCCACCTATCCTTAAGTGTTCAACAGTTTATCTGTTATATATCACTGTCTTCCTTTGTGTTAAGGATATTTTATTTTCCCTTTATCTGTTCTACTCATTTTAGTATAACAACAGTATAGACCAATGATGGCAAACCTTTTAGAGCTTTCAGAGATAACAAACAGTCCGCTGTGGCACATGTGCCGTAGGTTTGCTACCACTGATACAGACCAATGCAATTAATTACCTGATGAAAGGGGAAAATAGTAATAAGGAATTCCACAATTTTTAATATGATTATTTAAAAGTAAAATGTTCTGAAGCTTTCTTTTTCAAATAGTGCCATGAAGATAGTATATGCTCCAAGAGGCATATGCATTTCCATTGTGTTCATTGTGGAAGAACTAGTGCTTGGCAGAGTAAATGATAGTAGTAGGCATGCAATGACTATTTGTTGAATAAATGTTAAACTGGTCAGAAACATGAGAATCCAAAAATCTAAAGGCTTTTTTTTTTTCATAATGAAAAGCAATTTTACCATCATAAAAAGTAGGTTTTGTTTTATTTAGAGTGGTCACAGAGCTGGAGATGTCAGGAAAACTTGGTTTTCTCTGAATGTTTGCATTATTTATCATATATGAACTTCAGTTGAATATATAAAGATTAGTACTGTCCAGAGGCCCTTGGTATGGAATTGGAATGGAATTACTAATCAAATTGTTATTTATCTCAGAAATGTCTTTTCAGCTCTTCTGATTTTATCATTAATTTTGCCAATATAATTCTACAGTATGCAGTGTGATTTGCTAGGCCATTTTTTGGTATCAGCTGGTGAGCCAATGCTAAAAGTATTGGTAAGATACCTTTTCAGGTAAAGTACAAATTTTGTATGACTGTTATAATGATTAATAGTTATATATAGTTAAAAATAGATATTGATGATATCAAAAACATTGCACTTCACTATTATTTTGCTTGATTAAACAAGGTAAAAGTAAATAAAATAACATTAATAGTTCTGAATTACACATTGAAATAGAATGACTTTAAACCTAGAGTGGTGAGAAGGTAGCTGTAGTTTAGCAACATAAGGACATGTCTTTACATACACTGTAGAGGCTACTTTTTTTTTGTTACTGGGGATCAAACTCTGGACCTTGTGGTTGTGAGGCAGGTGGAGGAACCACAGAGCTAAATCCTCGGCCTGAGGCTACTTTTTTTTATAAGCTACTCCTGATGACGAATATATACAGAAACTTCTCTCTCTCTCTCCCTCCCTCCCTCCCTCCCTTCCTTCCTCCCTTCCTCCCTCCCTTCCTCCCTTCCTCCCTCCC